GCAACTGCTTTCAAATTGCAGTTGATGTTCTACCTATTGAAATAAAAGCTGTAGTGGTAAACATTTATAAATATTTCCATTTTCAAATCATAAAACTAAAAGAGATCTGTGAATTTATAGATGTAGATGAATAAAAAGGTGCTTCAACATGGCAACATCCATTTAGTTTCTCTAGTTCCAGCTATTGACCGAAAACTTGAAATCCATGAAGGACTGCAGTCTTATTTTATTTTGCAAGAACACTGTCCTGGGATGATAAAATAGTTTTTAGATAATGACTTATGTGAAACGAATTAGTGGTTTATGCAAGGGCATCTGAAATTAAAAGTGCAAAACAGTCTTAATTATGGAAAGTGAAATAGTGAGTGTACAAGTGATGTTGTCTGTGAACTTGGAAAATAAAAAACAAAGCTTGAGGAAAAGCATGATAAGTGTGTATCTCCAGGAGCAAACAAATATTGTTAATACTAGAAAACAAAAACAGAAAAACAAGAATGAAACAAAACAAATAGAAACTAGAAAACAAAAGCAAATATTTATTATACTAGAAAACCACGGATCTGTTAATATTAGTACTGTCTTACAAGAGTTTCCAGCATTTTATTCCAGTCTGACAAGAGTTTCCAGCAAGAAAAACATGTTTTTCTCATAAATGCGTCAATATTTTTTCAGAAATTTTAAATTTAAGTCTGATCCCCAAATGTTGATCATGGCTGATACTATCTACTTTTAATGCCAGCGTTCAAAAAAAGTCTACGTGTAATCCAACATTACATTTTCCACATTGGTTTCTTGCATTTGTCTTGCACACTGCGCATTTTCTTTGTTTACCATTTTCGGTCCGTTCAATATAATGATTACCAGATGTTCTGATAACAGTAGGAACACGATTAATTGATGCTTTAGTGAAAGAATTCCTTCCACCCTTTTTTGCATCTGAGAGTTCTGAAGATAAAGCAAGATATCCTCTAGCAACCATCCTCCTAAAATGATGACTCAGACTGTAGTTTGAATTTGCCATAAAAATTCTCATACTGTAAAAATGTGGCAAATTAAACCATAATTTGCATTACTTATAGGTACACTGTCTTCATTGTAACAGTTCTGAAGTTTTAAATTTTCGGCTGATGTACACTTAAATTATAATCTATATACAATTATAAATAACAAAAAGCAGACTCAGTTATGATTCTTAAATAATACAGTACAAAGTCTGTAATCCGGACCTCAAAGCCACAAACTTTACGCATGCGCATAGAGAATGCGCATACATTACGCGCACATGCGCACGTTGAAAGAAATGTTTAATGAAGTAAACAAATAAATATTAAGCTTTTTTTTTTTTTTTTTTTTGTAAAATTTAATACCCTTTAGATTAGAATTGCTTTTTATTTCATAAATTGCGGTTTCATATTTCTAATAGTATAATTTCTGTGTGCCATCTTACCAGATTTAAATTGATGATCTATAATCTGGAATCGCCGAAGTCCCAATGAGTCTGGATTACAGACTTTGTACTGTATATCATTTTTAATTTTGAGGAGAGGGCAGTAAATTATGATTTCAAATGTGTGTAAATATGTTCACTAATAAAAGTAGATATGTTTCATATTAGTTGTGAGCAAGACCTAAGTAAAATAGAAAAATATAAAGCAGGACTAAAAACTGATTTTAAAATATACTGAGAACTGACTTTAAAATATACATTAAGCCGCAGTAATGTTAAGTAGTTCATAAAGATTTAAGTTTGCTTATTGAAGTAAAATGCATATGTATGTAGTAATGCGAGTTCTCTTACTTACAGCTAGTTTAATGGTTATGAAATTGTATAATGCAAAAATAAAACCAGTAGATGTTTCTCAAGGAAAGACTTAGTACCTGGGTCTGAAAACTTTTAATAAGAGAAAATCAATAAAACTGGTAATATTGCTCTGAAAACTGCCCTTTTGTTTTCATTTTTTCTAGATTTTGTTCAACAGCTTCCAGTACTGTATTACCAGTTGAATACCCTGATTTGTTCGAGTCATTTAATACTTTTTCCTCATTGAAAAATTTTCAGCCTCAGGCTTTGAATTTTTCCTTTAAAAACCTTAACTGAGTTTATTTTTGTGTTCACATGTTTTTATAGTTGTCATATTAGATGTAGGCGAAAGAAGCCCACTTTATTAAATACTTCCTTTTCGCATAATTAAGGAAATTTAAATATTTATTAATTGCTCTACATTTCTGCAGCTTTATGCATATTTTGAAAACAATTATGTAATATTTATTGTTTTGTTTTTGTATTCTGAATTTCTTTTGTTTGAGTTTTTCTTGTGTTAGTTTTGCGGCTACTAACAGTATATTACTGATTATGTATTTTAATATTTTCATGTTCTCTCATTAAAAGTTTTTTAACATAGGTTTAATATTTTTTCTTTTAAAAATCTTAACCTTTTTTTATTTTTTGTTTTCATATTTTTATAATTGAAAGGCAAGAAGGGTCCAGCTCCAGATTTTTAAATTTTCGGAAAATTTATTAAATTTTTTTTTAACATACGTTCTAAATGTTTGTCCTCCTTAGAAGTGCAAGTAGTAGTAAAAATTATTTTTTAAGGCTACTCCAATGAAAAGAATGATTTGTTTAACAAAAAAGACCCATGAACACAAATCTACAGAGGTGGAGCTGGGCCCTTCTTCCTGCAAGCCCTTCAGTTGTCAAACTGGTCCTGGGTGAAGGAAGCTTACAGTATTAGATTCTTCATTTTAGCTTAAGTAAGCAAATTTCAGTGTAATTTGTTATATGCATGCATCTGTTACATTAAAACTGAAGAAACTTGTTTAAAGTGTTGAGACATTTTTGATTCTTTACATGAACTTTAGATTCTTTACATCATTTAATTTTGTTGCAGTTTTTATGAAAAGGGCTGTTAGAAAAGAAGTATGCACATAATGTAAAAAACTAAACAAAACAAGTGCAAGTAATAAATAAGTAAGAAAGCTAAACAAATTAATAAACAGTATAAAATTGGCAAAAGTAGCATATAATTTAAACCTGAAAATAATTAAAAGTATAATGATGTACAGATTTAAAATAAAAAAGAATATGGATTGTCAGCAAGTACTTAGGAAGGAAGCTATCATTAAGATAAAGAACTCAAAGCTTTGTCTACCTTAGGATTAATTCAATGAGTACTTTCTAAAGGAATTTTGTTCACTTCAGTTTAATACCTGTACATATGCGTGATGTTTAAAAAGATAACATGACTTAGTCATAAACCTACATATGCTAGTTAAAGAAAGGTATCAGTAAATAAAGGTCTTTCATATTGCACAGTTCTAGTTATATGGCATCATTTAATATACAAAATTTTAATTTTCATATGGTCTCTTTGCAAAGCAAGTTCCAAGTGGTCATTTTTCTTTGTCCTGCTAAAAATTTTTGTTGGAAAGAAAAACCAGTTCTTAATATGTAAAATTAGCTCTGAAAAAAGTTATCGTTCACTTGTTTTATTAGGGACCACATATAATTAAATTTAATTAGCTATAATGTTTTTAATTCAAATGTTAATTTGAAATCAGCACTTCAAAATTTCTGTTTTCTTAATATAAAGACATATCTTTTAAAAATTTGCATTAAAAAATTTAATGTATATAGCTGTATAGCTGTTTTTAACAGTATTTGCATAAACTCAGTGGTGCAACAGCCCTAGTGGGCCACAGCCTGCAGTTGCCCTGAAATCTGGTTTCTTGACCTTGGGTCCCGGAATGCATCAGCATATGCCCGGGGCAAGTGGTCAACTTGTTGCAGAACCTTCCCCCCTCCCCAGTGTTTAACTTTGCCCAGCCCGGTGGTGCAGCTGTGCAATGCATTAGTCGCTGTGTCACCAGGCCTCTAACAGTATTTGCATGGGGTTCCTTAAAACTTTATATTTTGCATAATTTTAACCATATAAGGGCGGATTTGTTTTGAAGATTTTGGCTACTATAAAAAACTTCCTTGCTAACTTTTTTCACTATCTAAATAAAAATTTATGCTTTGTATATTTTAGCTACGAGTTATCAATTGACTAAAATCATTCCAGTAAATGTTGTAAGCTTTGAAGGGTACCTTATCTGATTGATTTCTAGAAAATGAGCATTGTGTCTATGACCAGCCATTCAACAGATGTTTAATTTTGGCAGCTTTCTTTAAATGTTCTTTTGTATACCAAGAAAACTCCATCCAAACTTCAGCTGCTAACATTCAGTGCCATTCTAAATTTAGCTGCTGGACTGTCTGCAAGTGCTAATTTAAGTCTTTAGTGCTAAGTATTGTGAAAAATTATTATCAGTTGCAGAAAATTTTCCAAAATGCTAAATATTTCACTGCTGATGAATATTTTACCTGTGGAAAATGGTGGATATAACTGTTTGGAAAAATGTAAAATATGTCTCTAATGTCACCCCACTAGTGGCCAAATAGTTAAAACAGCCGAATGTAGGTAGTTCAACCTAGATTTAAATCCAAGCAATAGGCTGGCAGCATGGTTATGTTTTGTGATTTTCCATGTGTGTTTTATATGAATATGAGCCACTTTTTCTTAGAAAGTCATCCATATTGGCATCCCTTCTCTTAGGCAGATAGACCTCATGTGCTTTGCCATATTCAAATAACCTAACCTAATAACTGTCTCTAGTAAAAACTGTAGAAGTTTTTGCAGGTTTATTATTTAATTTTTCTGTATATATTTTATACTGTCTATTATTTCATTTCTTAAAAGTATGTCAATATCAAAATACGGTGAAATCGTTCTGATTTAATAACTCATAATTCTAGATGCTTTTGAGTGTTTCGTGGAGATAGCCATCGTAATCACCATGATTTTGTGATGGTCAGTCTTGCTATTTAATTATGCTTTCAGAAAAAAAGGCTTGGAGGTTGTCACTATGAGAATTTTACTTTTATTGTACTTATATATGTAATTATTTACATCTTTACTTTTTATTGTATTAAATTGAATTTTGCTTTTTTATTAAAGGCCAAAGTTTTATATGATTTTGAAGCCCAGCCTGATTCTGGAGAGTTGAGCATTTGGACAGGTGAAATTGTAACCGTTACAAGACAGGTAATGTAACAGAAATTACTGTTTCATTAAGGTTTTATTTGTCTTCCTAAAAATGTTTGTTTTACAGCCATAAAATATCATTGATATTTTCCTTTTGAATTTTTTTTTCCCCATGTCTAGAGAATATGCCTTTTATTAGTTTTAACTTGTGAAAAATCCTTACTAGACTGTAAATGACTTATCGCTATGTTTAATATGAATCAGAAACAGAAGAAGGGTGTAAAAGACCCTTTTGTTTAAAACTAAGTAAATTCAACAGAAGGCACACCAGGTAGTTTCAAATCAGCCAGCATTTAAGCCATGAATTCAAGGTGGAATTTTAAATTAAAACTAAATCCAAATATCTAGGAGCTATGCAGAGGAATTAAACACATAAGTTGGCTCTTAAGCTTACACTGGCATGATAGCACTATTGGCAAGAATAAAGCAATGCCAAAGACTGGAACACATATCTTAGAATAACAACTAGTAATGTTGTTTTCAGCAGGCAGAATATGCTCTGTCTAAAATAATAGTCTCGAATCCTCCCTTAAATACATGTGAGCTAATTTGCAGTCTAGCAGGAAAACAGGAAGGGTGAAGTGACAGTTCAGATTCACAACTTAAAATAACTGATTAATTAATATAAATAAGCTATGCAAATGTTTGACATTAATTAGTGTTTTTACCAATATGCATTCAGGGGTAGAAATGCATATGACATAAAAATAATTATCTGTTTTTCTTTAAACTTTTGGTAAAGCATTTTGTAAATTTATATTATACAGCACAAAGTCCAGTATCTGGAAAGAGCTATCTGCATCACCAATAACCTCCCTCCACCCCGCTATAGTGCTTTTTATGCTTTATGCTTGTGCATTTGATATATTCATAATAAAACATGTGGAAGGTCCTAATTCTTAATTTAACTTTGGCACCGATGCCAACTTAGCGAATCATTATTAGCCCAATTTAGGGCTATTAATTTCATTTTGGCATTTTGTATTGGTTCACTATAAATGTCTGTTCACCTTTCAAATTGTTGCCGCCAAATATTAGAGCCCTGTATTATATTTAAAGAAATTATATGATGAAGAATTTGCATAAATGTATATATTTTTTTCATTGTGATAAAACAACAATACCTAGCTCATTTTTAAATTATTTTGCGATATTGTTGTTGACTTGAATTTAATGGTTTAAGTGCGAAGAACATGATATTTAATAAATAAAGGTAACACACAAAACGTTAGAAAAAAACCTGTGCTGTGGGCGTAATATAAAATCTGAAACCTTTCAGATTTTATTTCTTCATTTATTTTTTGCTTTGATCACTGCAGGACCATCCACACACTATAGCCATGTGTAATTAATGACTCATGCAGCCATGTGTAAAAATTTTTTCTTATTTCTTCTTCTTTTTTTTAAATATTTTATATTAGTAAAGAACGTGGTAATCTTTTATGTTGACATTACACTTGGTGATAATTAGATAATTCCGAAGTGTTGAGTGTGTTGACGAGAAGAGATTTAACAGAAATTTCTTTCCTTATGCAAAAAATATATTATGTTAATGATACTCATAGGCCAAAAGATTACATTCAATGCTGTTTAAATTGAGAATAAATGATTTGTTCCCAGGACTTAGAGCTGGTGTAGCAAAATGTAAGGGAGGGAACATTTCTGGAATTTAGAAAAGCATCAAGCAATAAAAAGCAAGGAAAGGCAAAATCATTATAATTTGGGGAAGACACTAGATTGCAAAATGTAGGAGTGGAAAATTTTTTATAATTTCAGAAGGTGCTTGGCAGTAGAATTTCATATTTACAGAAAGTGTACTGTGCTATGGAATGTCTAGAGCTGGCCTTGGAGGAGCCTTAACCTTTTCGCGACGGCGCACCTTTGTTTAAGACGCTCGTGCGGGACGGAAGAGAATCAAAGGCAGTCACCGTACAGGACGGAGGTTTTGCATCGCTAAGCCTAATTTTATAAAAAAAATCAGAAAAAAAAAGGCTTGAAAAAAATAAAATGGTTCAAACTTCACTATAAGAATAGAAAGAATTCTAGTAATAGTAGCAAAATTTGGAGGAGAATATGTTGTTTTATCCTTTCATTCAAAGTGATGTTTTGCCTAATTTTCGTTCTCCCTTGTCACTTTTAGAGAAGTGTCTTTTCACCATTTTCCCCATTCTCCTCTTAATCTCAGTATCACATACCAGATGGGAAAAAGCAAGACAATTTTGGTTTATTTGACTATGGAAAAGCATTCTAGGGATATCTAAGGAAAGGGATGCCTTCATGGAAGACCTTGTAAGGAGAACAGGCTCATAAACACATTACATATTGGAAAAACCACAAAGATCACATGGAGTCAAATCCAGGTCAAACTATTAGTGATCTGCAAAATTTTTGCTCGGCTACTGGTGCACTCCCCAGAGAGGACAAGATGGGAGTTTATCTCTGTCTGTCCTTTCATTCTTTATCTCTTTAATCTGCTAACTCCCACCTCTACTTTCATATCACCAGCTTATGTTTCTATCTACAATTATTAGTGAGCTATTTTTATGCGAGTTTTGATTCATGATTATTAAAATAAAATTTCTTCCTTAGCTTCATCCTTTTTTAATCCACTTTTAAATCCTCTTTAGGTATTTATTTTCATATTCTCTGTTTTAAATCGTAAACAGTAACAACAAACGTATGTACTGTGTAAGATAATTAAATGTAATAACATGATCATTTTCATAAATTAAACTTCCACGTACATAAAACAATGCTTTTTATTGAAGAACAAGAAATTATTTATTTTTCATTTGCATCTTCTCTCTTTTTAATGTCAAACACAATTAATGCAGAGTAACATTTCAGGAATGATTATTTTAGATACTTATTGGGAGGGAATGAAGTATTTAACTAATGCAATGTAATTTTTTTTAATTATGCAATTTAATCATGCAAAAAAGTCTTTTTACTAAGCAAATACTATGAGTTTGTTTAAAACCTTCAATAATGAATTGGGATGCTAAGAATTTCTTTCCATTTCTCAAGCTAAGCAACAGTATCTCTAAAACCATTGCTTTTGAAAAAATAGCATAGTTTCATGAAAGAACTCGCTACTCAGAATTTTTCACATACATAATGCAAACATGAGTTAATTTCTAGTAGAGAAATTTCCATGAAGAAAGCCCTTCTACTAGGCTTTTATTTTTCATTTGCCCTGCAATTAATTAAAACCCAACCCAATCAAAAATATGACAAATTAACTGAAATTTAGTTTCATATTAAATATCGAATCAGATTCAAATTCATCTTCTCAATTATTATCAGATTGCTTCTTTATCCCCTGAGTGATTTGATACTTCTTTATCAACTTTATAAATTTAATACTTTATAAATTTAATACTTTATAAATTTGTATTTTAATATGTATAATAAAACATTTTAACATTTTCCATACCGGCTGTGCTGAGTTACATAGAAAAATGGCTGTCAGAATTTTGATTGTGAGCTACCAGTGGGTTACTGCAGCATTTTTCATAGCTCATGTAAAAATATTTTCTATTTAAACTAGCATTCTACTAAATACATGATTTTACATTATAATACATAGTAAAAACCAATATAATAAATACATGGTTATATAATAAATTCAAATCATAAATCGTGAGACACATGATAAATAATGCTGTATCAATTTCTGTTCTCTCAACTTGATCTGAAAGGGCTTTTTTCCCCCCAGAGAAAAACAGAGATACTTTCAGTTAGCATTGAGTTTTAAGATAGGCTTATTAAAATAAAATTTTCTAGATTCAAAGAATTTCCTCCTAAAATTGTGGTTCAGATACATAAAAGAAATTCGAGAGCCCTCTCATATAAGAGCTTCAGTGTGCTTTCTGAATTGATTTGAGATCTATCTAAAAAATTGAGAAGTAGCAGAGCCAGGCTGTGGTGAGTGGCAGCGCAATTTAAGCTCTGATTCAGGCATTAACTTCGTCAGTGTGTGACAGAAGCGAGACAAAAATTATGTCTTTAGTTGGCAATTTCATGCTATTTTGCCAATAGTGTAAGCTAGCTGAATTTTATGATGATAGCTACAAATTTGAAGTTTTAAAAATATTATAAACTAAAAGCAAAATTTTCTAATTAAAGGAATTTGTGAAGAAATGTGGAGAAGTGATAATGAATGAAGAAGCTATAACAAAAGTTTTTCATCGTGATGACAACTCCCCAATCATCAATCAACTAATGGACTGGGAAATCTGTAGTAGGGTTCTAAATCCAGAAAATAATGCTACCAATAGTGAAGAAAGTGACAGAGAAGTTGCTGAAAATGAAAAAATTTCAATTAACAGTTAAGTGGGAATTCTTAAAATGTCAGTTACAGGATGTGAACAGTGGAACTTTGTAACTGAAGAAGAAATTATGTCTGTCTGTAGAATTAAAGAGAAAGTATTAGTCAAAAAAAAAAACAAAGCAACTTACACCGAAAGAAATATTTAATAAAGGAAACAAATAAATATTTGTTTTTCTCCTGAATTCTGATTCCCATATTTTTTATTTTATAATTTCTACATGTTATCTTACTAGATTTGCTGATGATCTAATGTCAGAAAAAATCTCAAATCCAGAATTGCCGAAGTCTCGATGAGTCTGGATCTTGGACTTTGGCCTATAATAATAATAATAATTTTGAATCCAATAATTGATTTTTAACATTTTTATTATAATTCACACATTGTTTAAATATTCTACAACTGTGCTGAAACAAGTTTTTATGCTTGAGGAATACCTCAAACAAAACTGTTAAAATTCAGCATCAGAATAGAAATATTGCATTTATGAATATTAAAAAGACTCCACTAGTAGCAAAAACAAGTAACAAAATTTTACTGCTGTTCTCTAAAGAAAAGAAACTTATGTGAAAGAATGTAAGTGGTATACTAAATAATCTTAATTGCTTTATTTAACAATTTGTTTTGGTATTGAGAAACTTTTAGAAAGGTAATTAAACTCTTCTTGTT